GAGTTTCTATCTAATCCAATCCTATTGTGTCCTTTTTTTAAAAAAAGAATCGGGTTTTGGTCGTATTATTTTAGAGATTATGTTCAGGTCGGGGTGGGTTATAGTTTAGGGTAAAAAATATACGACCTGATTCGACCCAAAAAATGTAATTTTACCTTATATTTAGGGATAATTGCAATAATATCCATCTATATATTATTTTTTTCAATTAAATCCCTATTTTTATTAAATAAATTAATATTTTTTACAAATATATTATTTTGAGTCGGGTTCGACTTTTATCTCAAAAAGAAAAGTCGGGTTCAAGTAAAGGATGTATATTGTTAAGATCGGATGTATAATTTTTGGGTGTATAACTTCCAGGTTAGATTAAGTAAAGGATGTATATTTTCAGATCGAATTTATATCAGATAAATTTATAATTTTTGAGTCGGGTTAGATTAACCGAAAATTCGACCCAACCTATGTCCATCCCTAGGTCCATGCGACTTTTCTGCGTCCTTGTAAAGAACCTCCTATTTAAGGAAATAAATTAGGATAGTTATTATATGAAATTTTTATTTTTGCAAAAAATAATATCTCAATGATTTAACCGATAATTTTAATTGATAATTTTATTTGCGGTGAGTTTAAAATTTATATATTTATTATCGAAGAAAGCAATAATATTTTAAAGCAAAATCGTTTTGTTACTATACAATATTACATCCTTGCGATTCAGAAAATCAAAATATGGACCACTCTATCATTAGTTCGAGATTGTTTGATATTTGAATAATTTGTTTATTATTTTCAATATCAACAACGTAGAAGAACCTTAACAGAAGTGCATTACATATCATTGATGAATGATTCGAGATATATTAATACTATAGTATTGGTTATCAACAGCAAGTTGGAGCAATTATATCAATTTTAAATAATTAGGGTAAATTATACAAATGATCCCGATGATAGGGCATTACTATGTTGAGTCCATTGGTTATTGAAAATTACAAAATGTTCCTCTGACTATGGGGTGTTACTTTGTTGGGTCCCCCGATTATTAAAAGTTACAAAATAATCACTCTACTATTCATATGTTTCAAACTTGTCCTTGTCCGTTAAAAAATTGACGGCGATCTGAGCTAGATTTTAGCTTGATGATTGGATATGATAAAATTTGTTCCTAAAATCTCAGTCAATAGGTTAACGTCTACCTTAGATGATTGTCAATTTTTTAACAGAAAAGGGTCGAGTTCGAAATATATGAATAGTTGAGTGACCATTTTGTAACTTTTGATAGTCATGAGACTCAACAAAATAACACCCTATAGTTGAAGGACCATTTTATAACTTTCAATAATCAGTGGAATCAACAAAATAATGTTTTGTAGTTGAGGATCATTTATGTAAAAATTGATGGTGATCTGACCTAGATTTTAGCCTAATGACTGGATATGATAAATATGATCTAAAATCTCAGTCAATCGATTAACGTCTACCATAGACGATCGACAATTTTTTAACAGAAAAGGATAAGTTTGAAACATATGAATGATTGAGTGATCATTTTGTAACTTTTAATAGTCGCGAGCCTCAACAATATAGATCCCTATAGTTAAAGGAACATTTTGTAATTTTCAATAATTAAGAGACTCCCTATAGTAGAGCATTTGTATACTTTACCCAAATGAGTAGTAGATTTTATCGTACTCAAAATGCGAATAAAAAAATATATTTTTATATAAAATATATATTTAACAAGATTTATTTTATAGATAATTTTAATTTACTAATTCATGTTCAATTTTAAAATAATAATTTTTAATTTAATTTTTGTTTAAAATAAAGATTATTTAGAACAACAAAAACATGAAAATTGAACCATTTAATCTTTTTTCAACTGAATTAATTGATGACATTAATTTAATTAAAATTTTAAATGATAGTATAGATAAATTGTCAATGATATATTCTTTATTGTATATATTAAAATGTTTGAAGATTATTGCATCCTTTGTAATTAATGATATCTTCACATGATTTGATTGGTTAATTATAATCTAATTATTCCCTGGAAATGACTAAAGCGAATTAAATATGACATAAAGTGATGATTACATTGATTTAATAAATATGTAGGTTTTGAGATTTGATGTTCACATTTAACTATATATTTTTTAATTAAGCATTGTTGTTTGATCTATTACTGACTACTCCAGATCGAATACCGTAGAGGCAAGGGCGACTATGTCAATCCAATTTGCTCTATTAGTAAATATCAAGGTTCAAACCCATAACCTTGTTTGACGAATATAGTGTTTTATCCTACTAAACCAACTGGTTGTTGGTCACATTTATTCAAATATTTTTTATTTATATAAAGTATTAATTGTATAAAAAGTCTTTAAATCATGATTTGTATTTTAAATTAATCCTTAAATTTTTAAATATTTCAATTTATCTTTAAATTATGACACTCATTTTAAATTAATCCTTAAACTTGTGAACATTTCAATAAAATCTCCAAACTATACCCCATGCCTCAAACTTTTGAACCTTTCAATTTTATTCTCAAATTCATCCAAATATAATAAGTTTCAACCATAGTTTAACCTAATCTTTAAAAAAAATATAACATATAGTTCGGTTTAACGATTTTATCAACAAAAATGTGTTTAGCATATATTGATAGTTTTGGATGAAATTGAAATGTTCAAAAGTTTGGGGATAAATTTAGAATGAGGGTCATAATTTGGGGTGAAATTGAAATATTCAAAATTTTAGGTATCAATTTTGAATGAGAGTCATAATTTGGGATGTAGTTGAAATATTCAAAATTTTAGTTATCAATTTCGAATGAGGATCATAGTTGAGTACATGTGGTCAGTGGAGGATGCACTAAGTCTCATAGGTGTTCATTTTTAAATTTCTAAATCTGCCACTGCATGAGATGTAATTAACTCTTATACAGAAGAGTAGTTGATGTGCAATATTTTGTTGGCATAACTATGAGTATCTAACTTATTGATAAATTAGCATGAATCAATTTACCTTAGTGGTTAAAGTAATCATTGTTATTTGTAGAGGTTATGGGTTCGAGCACTAGCGATTACAAGGATGATTGAGCTTTTACTGTCAAATGATTGATAGTATTTAAACATATTACTTTGTAATCACCTAATGATAATGAGATAATTTAAAATCCAAAAGGGACAAATTTAATAAGACTGAAGTAGTACTATTTATCAATTTCATCACCCAGACTTTTGAGTCTTATTTTAGACACTCAACTATGAGGATGTTCACATTTGGTCGCCATAATGTAACTAGAGCGTTTATTGTCAAATGATTGAGAGTATTTAAAACATATATTACTTTATAATCACCTAATGATAATGAGATAATTTTAAAATCCAAAAGGGTCAAATTTAATAAAACGGAAGTAGTACTATTTATCAATTTTATCACCCAGATTAATTTGTCGTTTAAGTGGGCAATAAATATAAATAACTTTTGAGTCTTATTTTAGACACTCAACTATGAGTAAGTTCACATCTGGTCACCATAATGTAACTAGAATATTGACGTGCATTACATACTTAATGTCAAAATAACATGATTGTTACTATCGATATTTTATGTTACAATCGATAAATAAAATGATTTGACTATAACATTTTTATATAGAAAATAAAACATAAAAGCAACCAACAACTAGTTGGTCTAGTGGGATGAGATAATAGATTCCTTAAGCAAGGTCAAAGGTTTAAACATTGACGTTTGTGAATGGAATAAATTAGATTGGGAGGGTCGCGTGCCCTTACCTCTCCAGTAATCAATCTGAATTAATCGATTAATAGATGAGATACCAGTAATTAATTCAAGAAAACAAAAAAGCAGTGTTTTTGTTAGCTGGAAAACCGCGTAAACTCTCTCAAAACCATTTTTTGGGAAACAATTAAACCCTAGAAAGTTCAAATTTGACTTGAAGGATTTCTTGCAAATAACTTTTTGCTTTCCAAAGCTTGCGTTGTTGGTGACGACTTTGGAAACAAAATGAAAAACAGTTATAGCATTATTTACATCTAAATCTACACACTCATCTCTTTTATAAATAAAGAAAATTTGAACAGTGAAGTTATATTCAGGGATGGATCGAGAGGACGGATATGATTTTTTTTTTAAAATTTAAAAGTATCATATATACAATGGCGGATCCATCGAGGGTTGAACGTGCCTATCTTAAAATCCGATTTTTCTTTGATTAGTTACCTATTTTACTAATTATACACACCTTGAAACCCAAATTTCATTCGATTAATTACCTATTTTACTAATGGTGTCTAGCACGAAATTTGATTCGTGCTCAAACCATTCAAAAATTTTGTGTCGTTAACATTTATGTGCCAACTCTAAAAAATATTTTTGAATTTACCATCGACCATTTATTTTAGATTTTTAATACATTTTCTATTAAAAATATATTTTCGTCATTTTAGAATTTTATAAATTCATCACCTTTTAAAATTTTAAAAATTCACACTAGTATAAAATTCTATGTTCATCCTGATTATATCCATGGCGGCTAAAAAAAACTACAATAAAAACACTTATAAAGTTGGAATTTAGAATTCCCGATGATAGGGTCGGTGGAATAACCACCGGGATTAGTGGAAGAGTGGCAAACGTCGGTAGCTGATAGTGAGCAAGTCACCGTGTATGGCCGGAAAAATATGCATACGCGTTATCAGCTGCATGTCAGTATAGTTGCTTAACATTAAACTAATACAAGCAATTAATAAACAGATTCTGGATAATTATTTATATATAAATTGATGATATGGAATATGGGATTAAGCTAATTATTTACTATAATCGTTTTGAAGAATCCAATAAGATTTCCATGGCAAGTGGAAATCGTAAATTATACAAACACACTTCAAATTGCCACATGGGTTGAGTGCACTCTCTCTCTCTCTGTGTGTGTGTGTGTAATTAATGAATAATTTTGAATCAAAAAGAAAAAAAAAGTAAATTTGACCAGGCTTATCGTTCGTCTTGCTCCCGATCATGGAATGACTGGAACGACAGCCGGAAAACCCAATTGGTGCGGTTCTTTCTTCTGGTGTTCATCAACTCTTGATGGCTCTGTTTGTTAATGGTGATGGAAGCAACGAAGGATTTCAATCGTTGCATGGCGAGTTTCAGTGTTTCTTCGGACATGTTAGCGAAGCAGACATGGAACCAGCCTGGTTCAGTGCAATGACACGATGAACCAGGAGAGATGTTCAGTTTAACATCGTAAACAATTCGTTTCCAGAGCTCCATTTCTGCTTCGAACGTGTCGGAGCTCAAGAGGTGTCTCATGTCGACCCAGCAGAACAAGCCGGCATTGCTGTCTAAGCAGCTGATGCCGGTTTTTTCCAGGCCGGACACCAGCTTGCTCCGTCGCTTTCGGAGCCGCTTGTGGTTCTTCGAAAGGTATTCTTTGGTGAATTTCTTGTCGGATAACATGGCGGAGAGAAGGAATTGAGTTTGTGAAGAAACTAGGCCGAAGCTGGACATTTTTGTGGCGGCGGCCACAACAATGGGATCGTTGGAGTAAATTGCACCAACTCGAAAACCAGGCAGGCCTAGATCCTTTGAAAGGCTATAAACAACATGAACTCTTTCCCATTCTTGACTCTTGTCCATCTTCCTATCTTTCAAAACTTCCATGATGCTTATGAATTCCGGCGAGCTAAACACTGTGCCGGAGTAAATTTCATCGCTGATTAAATGAATTTCCTTGACTGTAATGAAGTTAATCAGTAGGTCCAATTCGTTTCTTTTAATCGTCGTCCCCAACGGATTAGATGGGTTGGTGACTAGCAAACCTTTCACCCTCAGGTTCTTCCTTTGTGCTTCTTGGTAGGCTTCTTCAAGTGCTGATTCTGTGATTTGGAAGCCATTGGAGCTGGTACAAACAATCGGTACAATCTCAGCCCCAGTTCTCCACTTGAGATCTCTATCAAATCTGTAACAAAAATAATAATTCTTTTAATTCTCATGTTTATTAACATTACATGTTTACAACGTCAAACGGTCAAAGAGTTGATGTAGTATTAGTAATTTAAGACATACCCTGGGTAGTATGGCGTAGGGAGAAGAAAAGCTTCGCCTTTTTCAGCGAGGCAAAACATGAGCGTTTCATTCGCCGACGTAGCACCGGCGGTGAGGACGATGTTGTTCGTATCGAAAGTTACTTTGTTTCCTCTTATTTCAGCCATGAAATCAACCAATGCCTGTTTGAATGCGGGTAAGCCATGATAATCTTGGAAAAGAGCAAGCTCTTTGAATAAGGATTGCCCATCTCTCTTGAAACAAGCTGCCTCTGGGTTTTTGGCCAACCAAGACTCAAGAAGATCAAAGCAAAGCTGCAGAAAAAAGAAAAATAAAAAGAAACTATAAGAAAATGCATTTCAAGTTCTTCAATGAAAATAATTTATGGGTTTTATATATTACCTGATTCTCTGCAAGACCCATCTGAATAATTCCTTTAGGATTCTTGACCTCATCGTAAGGGTTCTTCTCATATTCCTGCCATCCCAGGAAGTAAGAAGAATCCTGTCCATGAGAATTACACGTCACTTTCCTTGACAACAGCCCCATTTGATTCCTTTGCTTTCTGCAGATCAATTATAAGCTTTATTTTCCCGGAAAATACTGATTTGTGGAAGAAGAAAGTGATAGTTTTGTGGAAGAAGGTTGTTGTTGGTAATGGCGATGGGAATGGACTAATGGAGCATATATATAAGCGTAGGGAATATTAAAAAATGGACCGTATTATTTTCTAACTAAATTAACTAAAATAAATGTATGAAAACGACGGTTTTGACCATACAGACAGGGACTTGTTTTGATAATCCAAATTAATAAATTTAATTATTTAAGAGATAAAATGTTTGTTTGTAAACACTTTCTCCACCGTCTAGGAGACATCTCCATCTTCTCTACTCAATGTTTAGTTTTACGAGCAATAATCAAAGTGGGGGTAATCGGGCCATCATCTTTCCTTTTCCTTAAGGATCACTTTTGTTCTTGTAGTATATTTAATTTATTATTTTTACTCCTATCGTATTTTCACATTAATTTAACTCTCAAAATTATTTAATTACATCATTCTATACTCTACTCCTAGCTTAAAACTCTAAATTGATAACATTGAACCCTAAACTAATACCCTATAACCTCTAAACCTTAAACCCTAATTTAAGATTTTAAATTAAGGGTAGGGTGTAAAATAATGCAATTGGCTAATTTCGATGGCTAAATTAATGCAAAAATACAATAGGAGCGAAAATTATAAATTATGTCTACCTTAGGGATAAAAATTATCCTTTTGCCTTTTCTTATGCATTTATTCTTGGTAATCTTTAGATTTACTACACATTATATTTTCATTGTCATTCTTACAATGGTTAAAGCTTTTCAACTAATGAACTTTCCGAGTGGATTCAGTTGTTAAAGGAAGTTTATTTTCCTTTGAAGTTCTGAGTTCAAGTAATTATGCTTGCATGGTATATGTATATTATTAATGGTTAAGAAAGATTTTGAATATGTACTACCCTTGTAATCACATCAGACTATTAAAAAAAAGTTTTTTGAATTAAGAGGTCTTCAGAAAACTCCTTCTGTATATTATAGTTTCCAGGATTTCATATCTTTGACTGGTATTATTTTTTAACATGACCTCTAATAAATTCACGTGATCTGTCGTAGGTACATCTACTGTCAAACAATCATATCATCCCCTCGATCAACCTACAAGTAATCATCATGATTCTATGCTTGACATAATCATTGAAGGTCGATATATAAGCCCTCACAGAAGACTAAAAAAGAATATGAATTATTTCTCTCTTTCTCTTTGAACCTCATACCATCCATGATCTTAAGCTCATCATTCTCTCTAAATCATTGACTGCGACTTTTCGTCTAAGTCAAAAGAGGTGACTTCAGGAACAAATATAAGATTTTATATTAGGGAGAATTTATATTATTTTAATGGGATGAACTTATAAAATTTGAATAAGACGAAGATAAATTATCAATAGAAAATATAAAAAATATATGAGAATTTAAAATTTTTAATAGATGATCACCCCAATCATTCTCCCTTAATTTATCACTAAATAAATCGCCTATAACTATCGTAACTCAAATATTATCATCGATAGTTTTAACCAGATTTTTTTAATTGTTTTTAAAGTTTTTTAAATTAAGAAAAAATATAATAGAACAATAATAATTTACAAGAAAAAAACCTTAAAACCCCACATCAACGTATCATCTAATATAAAATAGCACGACTGAGTCACAAAGTCGATGCTACGTTGGACTGTATAGTGTGCATGTATGGACCATATGTTCCCTTTGCTAGCTTCACCCATTGAACACATGTTTGCCCTCCTATATAACCACAAACAGATATAAGATTTTATATAAGAATGGTGAATTTATAAAATTTTAAAGAAAAATAAATTTATAAAAATTTTAGAAATACTAAAATGAGTTTTCAATAGAAATTATAAAAAATACTTAAAATATATAAGAATTAAAAATTCTTAACGACCATCTCCCCCATCCCATCAATCTGTCCCTAAATACAACACTCCTCATTCTCTTTTAATTTCCATTTTGTCTTTTATTTTCTTAGCCCAACATTCTACTAAAACCAAAACACAGTTTAAATAAGATTCCAATTAATTCACTGTAATCAATTTTTGGGTAAACTATGCATTCAATACCTAAACTATCAGTTTTGATCTGTTTTAATATTTAAACTTTCAATTTTTCAAAATTATACCTAAAATTTAGTTTTTGTTTCATTTTTAGTACCAAAACTTAAGTGTTGAAAAAATTGAAAGTTTAGGTACCAAAACACATTTAGTACCTAAACCATACTTAAGTTTTGAAAAAAAATAAAAATTTAGGTACTAAAACGGATCAAAATTGATAGTTTAGACACTAAACGCGTAAAGTTTTTAACGATATGGCATTAAAATGAAACAAAAAATAAACTTTAAGTATGATTTTGATTTTTTTTGAAAGTTTAAGTACTAAAACATACCAAAACTAATAGTTTAAGTATTAAATTCATATTTTACCCTTTTATTTATTTAATTTTTTATGCACTCATACAATTCTCAATCGGTTTGATTAAAGAGTGTAAAGGCCTAGTAATATAAAACGGAATGTCCCGATACAATAAGCAGAAAAGTATTATATTTTAAGGTAAATATTAGAATTTAAATTCATATAAAGTGAGATAATATAAATATTTTTTATTATTCAATCAATTAATAGTTTTTACCCGGATTTTTTAAATACGCTTTTGGTAATCTAATGAAAAATATTAACTAGGATAAATAACATATTTAATATCTAAACTATTATTTTTGTTTTGTTTTTATACCTAAACTTTATTATTTTTTTAAGATCATGCCTAATATTAGTTTAAATTTCATTTTGGTACTCTGTCATTAAAACTTAATTTTGATATTGACATGTTACCATAAGATAATGTCACATCATTATAAAAATATACAAAAATATCAAATTAGTAGTTTTTTTTAAATATTTTAACAGCTAAATTAAATGTTAGGTATGATTTTAAAATAAATAAAATTTGAGTACCAAAATGGAACAAAAAAATAGTTTAGATACTAAATATGTAGTTTATCCTATTAACTATTACTTTATTAAAATGGAGCTCTTTGTTAGTCAATGACAAAAGAAACAACATGGATTAAAAGATTAAAGTTCACTTTTATCTCAAATTTATAATAAAAAATATAAATATAAAACAGTGGATGTTGCACTTTTAAGGAATGAAATCTATTTTGAATTTTAATAAATTATTAATAAATATTAAATATGAATAACACAACCAATTATTATTCAACACATTTGCAAGTGGTGAGTAACCAATTATCCGTCCTTTGTTTTGTATGTTAGAGCTATCTGATTTCAAAGTGTGTTTTGTCGGTTATCATTTTCATTATCACATGGGAAGGTGAAAGACTAAAATCTAATAATAAAATATTGTATAAATATATAATTTTATGTTAGAGAGTGAATTAAGATTTTTTTTTATAAAAAATATGCTTTCTCTTAATATTTGTGTGTTGCTTTCTTTTTTCGCTTTGTTTTTTTGTTTATTTGAAGGCAATTCTGTCGTAATCGTCCCTTAAGCTCGGAACGAGTCTCGACTTATTTGTGAAAAATTTGATTTTTGTAAAAGAAATGTTTTGAACTCGCCATCGACCTTTTGAGTTAGGTAGATCAAATACCACTAAACCGTCTTTTAAAAGAGCTTTTAAGAAAGCATCATTTTAAAATATATATTAATCTACTTGTAACCAGAAATTCATTCTTTTTAGTAATAAAAAAGGGATTCGGGGATCGATTACGCGTGGAGAAGGATAAGCACCACACAACGCCAAAAAATTGGTACCTCATCGATTATAAATTGACCTAATAGTGGAAATCTAAGAATTCAAATATATATATTTAAGTTACGATCCTCCTATTACAAATTCAATCACACAATTTCATTTAATAGGAAATTCTAAGAATAAATAGAAAAGATCTCAGTATTTCCAATCGAAGAGAGAATAATCCACTACAACAAATTTATCATTTTGTGACAAAATTTCTATTATGACACTATGTATAACGTCACAAAAATACTATAACGTCACAAAAATACTATAAACGTGACGTTTTTTTAATTTTTGTCACATTTAGTGATTTATGGTATATCCTTTATGATAATAATGAAAATGGTCACCAATTTTAGTCACTATATGTTTGGAGTTAAAATTTCCCTCCAAAATAATTTGGAGTGAAAACTTTTAATGACATTTAGATTAAATAGTGACGTTATAAAATTGTCCCCAATGAAATTACAATATTAGTGACGATTTATTAATTTGATTTTAATTACCGATGTTGTAAAATTGTCACTGATAAATTTTATTCGTGACAATTTGATTCGTCATATTTTATAAGACAAAAAATGTGTTGTTTTGTTAATGTCACGAAAAATAATTTTAACATGACGAATATAATTACTTATTACAACCTCTTTTATTTTATATGACGATTGTAAAAGACATCATGAGATTATATCACTTATTTTTAATGCAAAGAAATAATATAAAGGACTTGTGAGGCAAATTTTTAATGACATCTTAGATATAACACTCATTTGAAATCTTATTAGTGATGATTTTCAAATGTTTATTTATTTATTTATCAAACTTGTGTGTTCTATATATTTATATGTATACATACATTTAAGGTTGTTTTGTTTAATAAATGTTTTAATATGTATATGCATATTTAAGATCTTTTTTACCATTAAAAATAATCTTTCGTTAATCATGTTAAAGTCGATTGTTAATAAGATAATAATATATGTTGGCCACGTAAAAGAGATTAAGAGAATCTTTTGGGTTTAAATTTGATTTTAATATATTAGTTGTGAAATTCAGATTGAATTGAAAAAAAATTGTAAAATGAATTATAAATTGCTCGGGGATTGAACATGTTAAAATTTAAGACATTTTTGTCATTAAAAAATAATTTTTAATTGACCATGTTAAAATTGAGTACTA